TTGGAAGACTATGATGGCTGAATTTTAGCCACGATTGTTGATGTGTAACCATAATTATAACGAAGGCTTAAGTCTTCAATGTGAAGGCACCCATTTCGCTACGCCATAAACCGGTTTTTAAATTTTATTTTGTCGAATATAATGTACATCTAATCCGCGTGTCTCCGTGGTTCACTTTTTGGGCAAAGAAATGTTTTTTTAATGACACGAGTTCCATTAACGTTGCTACAAGAAAATATCTACTTTCGTAGACTTGCAAATTTTATTCCGCATCTCAAGAACATGAGTAAAATTTATTTTTTACTCGCGTTTATTTTCCACGAAACTTGACATATTAAATATCTCGTATTATGATTCGCTGCTTTCTATTTTATTTTACAGAGTTTTTGTATGATATTCTTACATATATTACTTCAATTGACGTGATGCCAAAAAGCTTATAAGTTATGTGAGATTAATCTAACTGTAAATTTAATTATAATTGCTATGTGTTCATAAGCTTTGAGATTTGGATTTGAACGCCATGTTCAAAAGTGAAGCCAGGATTATATTGCAGCCTGGAGCAGGCAGGGGCTCGCCTACTCAAAAATCTGGGGCAGGTAATTTGACAATTTTCATTTGATGCAGTTTTTCTATGCCTATGCTGAGGTGGCCAGTGGTTGCCCACCATAAATGAAAAGCCCAGTAGCCATTCGTAGGCGGACTTCCAATTAAAGCAAAAGCAAACATTCATTCTAAACATAAATGAATATAACGAAAACGATGAATGATCACTCAAACAAAGAATTGAATTTTAATAAGGTATGGCGGCAAATAACCAGACTACCGTTGCACGTCCGAAATAAATCGGCTTGAAATAAAATCAACCACCTATGTCTATGATCATCATTTGATGCTCATAGACATCTAGTGTTACTAGTGATAATTCTGGCTCACGAAATTATTCTTGAATAGGTTGTGGTTGTTGCATTCACTGCGGTGATTGTGTACTCGGGTCAGAAAAATTGTTAGTAAAAATTTGTGTGTGGTGGTTTTTCTCGGAAGCTCGTTACGATCTACAATTATTTACCAATTGGTTGTAAGATATTTATTACGTTGACCGTTACTTCACGTGTACTAATTCATGGTGAATGAGGTTTTCCTAAATGACATTCATCCTTATTTAGGATTTTGTGCATTGATTCTGATGTGTTGTAAATTGCCGTGACTGTATGGTCCGGAGGACTTCATTACATACGGAGAGACTAAAATTCATTTCAAATAACGGTTTATCATTACGAGAGCGAGTAATTTTCGTTACGACCGGCAAGTTAATTTAGGAGGTAAAATTTTTATTTCAAATTGGCTTGTGGATAAATTAAAGCTGAATACATGCAAAACTAAGACAATTAGGGTTCTATTTTTTGAAGCTTCTCTAACATTCATGTGAGTGTACACATTGATTGCATATTTTAATGTTTTTAATCGACATTCTAAAGAGCATCCAAACCAATCCTTATGTAATATGTGAAAAGTGTGTGGTTGTTCTAGCCAAATTGCATTCCTACATAAATATTTGGGTAGCGATCTTTCACAGATATAGTCGTTTGATATTTAGTTGACATATGACATCCCTTTGGTCCAGCTCTCCTTTGAAGTTTTTCAGATTAAAGTTGGTTTATTTGTTCATATTTGCGAGGCCGTCTGGAGTAACATTTGTGAACATTACGAAGCTTTCTTATGCTTTTCTTGATTGTATATAAATTAAGAAATCCGGGCCATATAGTCATCTTTTTCGAAAATAAAAAAAATTGCATTTTTGCCTTTCATCCTAAAATGATTATGCTGCGTGAATTCAGTTTATTTATCTACCTAAAAATAAAGAAACGATCTAGTGGGTAGAAAATATTTGTTATTTGCGCACGCAAAATTTCAATTTCATTCCATTTTTCTTAGTAAAAGGTCCGAACTTTCTTCCAAAAGTTTATTGCTCAATTTTAGTTTTTTTTCGTCATGCCGTGCTACTAATACAGGATTTCGGAGGAAAAAGACTCCGGATTACATTTTTCGGCATTGCAAGAAACTACTGTTGTAATTTGTGCTTTTTTTGCTAATATGCTATAAAACTGTCCATATTTAATCGAACAACAAATTTTACTCAGTAGAGAGAACTTCATCCTCCGACTTTGGAATTCCCGTGAACGTTCGCCATGAACAGTAAATTACGTAATTTGAAGGTGTATTGTTTTTTGGTAAAAATAATAACGTAGGAGCTATTTCTAGTCTGTACATATTCTTCATTTGATATGTCGATGAATATATGATCTCGTATGCATTTGGTTATATTCGTGCTGATTACTTCTGTTCACGTCATATCTCGTTTAGAATTGATTACATTCGTAATAATTATTTCTGTTCACGTCAGATCTCGTATAAATTCAAATATAGTCGTAAAAATTATTTTTGTTCTCGCCAAATCTCGTATAAATTCGAATACATTAGTAAAAATTATTTCTGTTCTCGCCTAATGTCGTAGAGATTTTATTACGTTCAAAATAATTTGTATCGTTATAAATGCTCGTGCTGTGGTCGGAGCTTCAATGCATGCGTTACCAGCGACATGTGAGGCGTGAACGTAAGGAGCGCTTAGCCTTGCGTGAGTCAGCTTTGGCTGCCAAAACCAAGCTTCTTCCTCCACGGCGCCCGTCTGACCAAATTAGACGCGATGAAAAGAATGCACCGCTAGCACCTACGCTCCTCTTGTTCTATCTTGTAAAGTCTCTATAAAATCTAATTTTTACATGAAATAGCGTATTTTGATGTTTTCTTTCTATATTTTTTAATTTTTATTAGGTATTTTGATATTTTCATATCGTATTTTGGTAGTTTTAGTTTAAAAACATCAGTCGCTATTAATTATTCGCACATAGATAGGTCTACTTTTTTAATCCGTATTTCTCAACTTATCTAAGTTTAGAAGGACGAAATTTTTCTTATTCTATAGATAAATATGATAAAATACAATTTACTCTAAACCTAGGACCGTTTTTTCAATATAATATCATTATGCGAATTCCTTTAACGCTATTGTTCTATTTAATATTCGGACAATTCAATACGTGATAAATTACCTTCCTATGCCTCTTGATTTATGCAAATCAATGCGTGTGTGTTATCCAATGCAATGTTTCCTAGCATTGCTAATTCTTGTACGTCACAGATATTTCCTATAAGTTCACTTCCTTTACCAATTTATACCAGAACAGGTTGACTGTAAATGAATGTAAATTATAGAAAATATGTTTTGAGATGTATCATTATTTCGAATTGAAGTAAATGAACGTCTTATTCTCGATGGCTTTGTACTTAATTTTTTGATGCTTGAAGGTGGATTCAATACATTGTATCGAATTTAGGCAATGTGTTGAAGTGCATTCAATGTTTTACATTGAGTTATTTTATTTCGCATATACCTACACATTGTTACTCCCAAGTGCTTCGTGTCGACCCAGCTTGTGAACGCTTTTATTTGCTGTTTGTTTACAGTTGTTTTGAGATCACTATCATCAATTTCTTCGTAGTTATCGTCTGCTGCGTTCTTGTTCGTCTCATATTATCCTATTGATTAAAAATTAAGACTCGCAACATTATACAGACCAAGATCTGTCATAGCTTTTCTTCACACATGCTCTCATCCCTCAAAGTTTCAAGGTGGTCGACGTGTTCGCTTGTTTACGTTTCATGTATCCTTGTAGCAAAGTTGTTTGTGCAGTGAGTGACGTCACTAACATAACTTGATCTGTAAACAAATTCGTGCCGCGCTATCCTTGTATACTGAGGTTTGGCGCCACACGAGGTGGCAGTCAGCCTTGTGTGTCAGTCAGCCTCGTGTGGCAGTCAGCCTTGTGTGGCAGTCAGCTTGTGTGGCAGTCAGCCTTGTGTGGCAGTCAGCCTTGTGTGGCAATTCAGTCTTGATTGTGTGTGATTGTTCAGTGTTTTTGCTTCCTTTAATACGATAACAATTATTAGCCCTATAAAAACCATCCATCGGGAAAATTATTTTCGAAGCATTCTTGCGTAAACCTAACTGTTAGTTTACATGGCATGCTTGTATTATTAAGTAATTTATTAAAGTAATCAGTATTACCGAGAGATTGCAATAATTCAATTTTGTGGAATTCCATATCATTTCTGATTTTGTTTCATTTAATTACTCAATGAATTTTTGGAAATAATCGATGGCTGCAAATATATTTTTTCACTTTTCACTCTAATTTTTGACTCAGTGTCAATTTATAATTTTTCAATTTATAATTCACGTTCGCCCAAGTTATCGCATATTACAAATACAAGATATCACAGAGAACCAATAAATTAATAGGTGAAACTTCACCAATCATATAAAGTTTTAAGAAGTTGTTCCTTAAACAAAGTGTGTTTATTGATACATTTTTATAAATTATCTGCCCTTACAGCTCTATCCTTGTGTCTGTATCTATGTGTCTGATTGTGGATCGCGTTAAGATAACTGCGGAAATTTTCTATATTTAGTAGAAGAATTCTAGTGTTCTTTATTTCACTTTTCTTTATATATGTTCTTTGTCATCCTTTTAAAATCTTATCGGTGTTTGCATTGGGCGTCAGCTATAACCAACCTGAATTTTTCCCAACTGGCATTCAAAATTAAAACTTGATTTTACACGAATAAAATAGTAACCAATTATTTTAAAGCCAAGAAAATGCCGAGAAAATTCACCGTAAATCCAATGAGAACGTTCGATACCAGCTCCAAAAGTAAAAAAATTGGAACCTAAACACTTTCAAGAAAAAAAATCCTGTTTAAACATGACTAGTAGTTTTTCTTTGAAGTTTCTGAAACGTTCTTTTAAAAAAAATATATAATGGTGGATTTACTTGCCAGTTTATTTTCCATTGAAATCTCTGGATAATTAGCGATTCTGGCAGTTAAATTATATTTTTATTTCAGTAAAAATATATATTATTGCATTGAATTTGTGCAGGTGACAACATTGGTGGAGTGCCCCCCAACAACAGTAACATCAACACGACAACAATGCCGGGCTTCGGAACTATGGGTGGTTTTGGCGCTACGCCTTTTGGCATGGGTGGCATGGGTGATGGTAACCCGATGGCTCACGAGTTCGCGAAACTACAAAACGATTTCTTCAAATGGCAAGACCAGCTGATGCAGAACCAGCACGTTCTCCACTCCAGAGTCGCGCCTCTTGCTGGTCCATCGACAGGCATACTTCCCGACTTGCAGGTACATTCAGAAAAATGCATTGGTCACATTGTCCAAATAGAGACGAACTTTCTTGCATGTAGAGCTGATACGCCCTATTCCGCGATAAGAGAGTCAATGTCATACACTAAGAGAAATAAGCGAGACTGTGGATAAATAGTGATGCCAACATGACCCAGTTTTGCCAGGTGTCGCGTCAGTGCTACGTGTGATCACTGCTCGTGCTGTGTTATTAAAGGTTTTTTTACTCGTTCAATTTCCTCGGTATAGTTAAAGTTAGAAGAAGCCAAATTTGACTTCTTGTTAAAAAATTTAGTTAGATTATTGATGCTCGTGGCCGAATGCTATACATTTTTATTGGGATAGATAAATATTAGTTGATGTATCTCAGGGACACCTTTTGTCAAAGTATTTGTAAACTCAAAAGGTTTATTTCAATCTTCTTTCAATTCAGAAAAGTAGAAAACGTGCTAGAAATATTCTACTACTAGAAGCAGTGCTATGAGCCGAACTTTGCGCAGGGCCCCAGACGACCGGAGCAAGGAAAACCTCGCGAGATCACCATCCCAATCATGATCGAGACCGACGACGAACCGACCTTTGTTCAGCAACCTGAACCTCAACAGCAGCTGCAACAACAGCAACAATGGTTGCGACAGCAGCAACAACAGATGCAACAACAACAGATGCAACAACAGATGCAACAGCAACAACGCTCATCGCAGCATCAACCAACGATGCGCCAAGTGCAGCCTCAACGGTTCCAACAACCTGTTCCTCAGAAAGCTCCTCCACAACGGCAGTGGCCTCCTATGCAACAGCAGCCGATGATGCAGCAACAGCCAACGATGCAGCAGCAGCCAGTGATGCAGCAGCAGCCAATGCAACAGCAGCAGCCGATGATGCAGCATCAGCCAATGATGCAGCAGCAGCCAATGCAACAGCAGCAGCCAATGATGCAGCAGCAGCAGCCGATGATGATGCAGCAGCCAGTGATGCAGCCGCAGCAGCCAATGATGCAGCAGCAGCCAATGATGCAGCAACAGCCGCTAATGATGCAGCAGCAACCGTCTCTTGGCCGGATGCAGCAACAAGTTCCTCAGGTTTGTTAAATCGATATTTTTTCATCCATCCTGGGAATATCCGTTATTCTTTGGTCCAATAAAAGTATTTTATGAATAGTTCTTCATAGACTCGATTTTAATTGCCAGCGGCAAGGCCTTGATTTTTTATCTAGAAACATTTTTTTCAATGGACTGTGTAACTTTTTCCTTCCTGAACGCGAATCCAAACTTGAGTGAGAGGATTTGCATGCCTCCGACAAGATTCCTCCAGCAACCTTCATCTGTTGACTTTGCCAATTTATTGCATTCATTGTACCCAGAATTAGTGGGCTTCTCTAGACGTTGCGTGGATTTATGTTCATTATTGAATTTTGCAGTAATTCTAGAAAATACACTTTAGATTTGATTCGTATACATTTTTTATTGAGATCAAAAATAGGTAGGGGTAAGCGAAATTTTATCCTATGCGTTTGCTTCATTTTTGCTTCTCTCGTTCAGTGAAGAGGCTCATTTAAAATGGATGATGTATAAATACATACTTAGTGCATACTAGCAAAATTCGTTTTTTATTCGCAGGCTACAATGGCCGCCAGTCCTGGGCCATCTCAAATGGTGCAGCCGCAGTCAGGAGGGTGAGTACTTGATTTAAAACCTGTTTTTTTACAAGCTTTCCTCGTAATTTGTTCTTATAGAACATATCCTCGAGTACTTTCAACTATTCAGTGTCTTGATCTTGCTCCCGAATTGGCAACGTGAATACTACGCATGAATAATTTTGCCAATCGCAAAGTCTAGCTGTAGTTCATTTTGTGTATCTCGACTAGTAATTATTTTATTCCGCAGATGGAAAGCTAATCCACTCAATCAGAGTTGGATTTCCCCGCATCTGAAAGGGATTTTACTCATACAAGACTCGTAATTCACAAATAAAAATAATCGTATATTTTTTTTATTCGTCTATCATTTCCAATGAATACTTTTTCGTCAATGCGCAAGAAGTCTTCCTGGATTATTTGAACATGTATACTGTCATTGAGATTCTAGATTACGCTCAACCTTTCAACGAACCTGACTGAGGCTATCCCAATGCAATCATTGAATGTCGAGGTATAGAGATATGCGCTGTTGGGTAATAAAACAAGGAAAAACTGCTAAAATCTTATGTTTTTCAAATCCTACTATTCAGCACACACGGCGAATTAATATGTACGTGACAACTCATTTCTACTGACTGACAACTCATTGTTTTTATCTGCTGATTGTTTTTCTTTTGTCGGCTCAGTCGCTGGGGCCCGCCCACAAACGTTGGGACTTGGGTGGAAAGACCTCAGGAGATCGCCGCTGAAGACTTGCAATCTTCAGCTCCTAAGGGGAAAATGGCTCCTGCTTTCTCTCGACCGTTCCAAAACCCTCCGACGCAACAAACCGCCGCTGTAAGTGTAAAGCTGTTATTTGAAAAACCTGCATTGTCTTTAAACGAAATGAGAATACGTGATTTATATCGCAAAGAAGACCAACTGCGAGCGTAATTGACCGTGTGTATTCATTCTTCTATTGAAATAACGTAACCAATTCAATGAGATAATAATTTATTTGATCATTTAAAAAATAATGATTCTACATTCAATATTTCAAATTCCATTTTATGTTTCGCTGATAGAAGACAGGAATATTTTGTTATACGACATCAGGAAGTATTCAGAGCATAATTTTTTCTTTCTTAATGCAAAGGGTTTGGATATTTTAGATTCTGCCAGAATGTATTTCTTTGTTTCTATTAAAAAGTACAGGTATTATTATTTACATTTATTTGCACTAGAGAATATGATTTACACCAAAAGATTCTGCAGTCGTGTAGCGAAAAGGCCTATTTACTTTTTGTAAATTGTCTCAAATTAAAGTTAGCGAAATGTCCTGAAAAAAGTATTATTCAATTCACAGTTCAACACTAATGGCCACCAGGGAAGCGACAGCGGACCCAACGCTCGCTACACGTCAGTTGTGACTTTAGCTAACGGCGACCAGGCCAGCGAACAAGCGGCGCGCGACAAAGTGCGCTCAGTGGTTCAGCTCAACAGCACTCCTGCTCCGCCGCTTGCTGCTCGGCAAGACTCAAACAAGCCCCTATTCCAGACCACTTATCTTGAAGAGCCTAATGAATTCAGCAGCAAAATCCTGGAAAGTGCCAGTAAAAATTCAGCGCCACTTGCAGAGGCGCCGTGGCGTAGGAATTCTGGGACCGTTCAGTCACCGCAGAGTACCCAGAAAATTGCCTCGTTTGAGCCCCCGATGTCGTCCCGTTTAGTGGCCGCCGCCAACGCTGCATCGTCTGAAACTCAGCCTAAGACGCCGTCTCCGCCCCGAAGCGTTGCGCAGCCACAACGTCAGTCACCGCCATATTGTCCTGTGGATCAACGGACGTCTCCTTCCAGAGAAAACTTCCTCCAAAAGAACGAGTCTCCGGTACCCGAGTTTGCGAATCTAAAGCTGAGACCTTCGCCTCCCCCAACTGAAAATCAAGCATCTATTACTCCTCAAACTTTCTCTACACCTTCGCCTCCTGTGTGCTCCACTATTCCACCTCCACCTGCTCCTGTTGGAGGACCTCCACCCCCTCCACCTTCTGCTGGGGGACCTCCACCACCCCCTCCACTTGCTGGAGGTCCTCCTCCACCTCCACCCCCACCAGGCCTAGCTCGTAGGCCACAAGCTCCGACAGAGGACCGCCGAACTTCTACCGGGAAAAAGATAATTTCTTCAGACCAGCCGGCCGAACTTGACCCGCGCGATGAGCTCATGATGGCAATCCGAGGCTTTGGAGGCACAAGCTCGGGTCGACTTAGGAGAACTTATCGGCACCCAGAGCAAGATTAAATGTCTCCTTCTCTCTCTTCCAATAAATCTGATGGTGTGGCGATGATACTCGAAATGATACGTGAAGTTTTCATTGGTTGTCGACCGCGATTCTGCACGGTCGCTTAATGTCGATTCCGCGAACTCATCACTATCGCCATTACCGTGCGTCTTGTCTCACCTATACGCGTAAATGGATTAAAATTGAAGGTAAAAAGAAGCGTCGCGAAATAGGACCCTGATATCTGGTTTTTCTAAACCCACTATAGCATCAGTGTCGGTTATTTAGGAAATATCGAGTTTTTCTTACTGAATGTCAGAGAGTCGTTTAAGTTTGCTGGTGTTGGTGTAAAGTAAACACGATCGAAAAGTGCCAATTCGGTTTATAATTCTGCCTTCAATGTTCTGTCTAATAATAGTCTATAATCCATATGCATGCATCTATCTAGTAATGTTTCAAACTGCGTTTTATTGTTCTGTATAAATATAATATACTATCTTCTATCATACTCTGTTTTGTGTTACGCAGTTACGATAAAAATTGCGAGAATTGAGCAATTATACCTGAATACCTGGATGCTTATTCACGAATTTGAATGATCCAAAAGTGGATAATATAGCTAATAAGATTGTAAATATTTGATTATCAAAGTTTAATTTTTTTCATCACATGTGATGTCTTCTTAGTCTTTTTTTATTATTCATTTTGGTATTTCATCATACAAATGTTTTCAGTATATTCAAGCTCGTAACCGTGTTTTGGGCAAGAACTGTTCAATATTCTGTTTTATTATCTTCTCAATCTTCATTAATTTCGCTTACGTTTCAGATCACGAGTGCCTTTTTCATGACGGCGAAATATAATATAAATAAGCTAAGCTGAACATTCTATGGTCATTGTCAGCGATCATTATAATCACGGCGTGTAGAACTTGGGGAATTTTTTCCGTTTTCTACTCGAGTGGAGATTTATAAGGTTTTTATACAGTTAATCATTGTGTTGTACTAAAATTATCTACACATTTGCAGCAAAGTTAGAATGATGGTAACTATCGTCAAATCTTGAACGCAGTAGCGCAATGATAAGTAAACTAAATTGACTAGTCAAATGATGCGACCGTTGCTGCACTTACATCAGTCAAGTCTGAAGAAAGTTGATTAATTAATGGGTATGTATTTCTTTCAAGTTATTGTCGCTTGAGAAAGTCTCTCTCACCACCAATAATATTCATCAAGTTAGTCTCTGTTATGCATGCCCGTTGATGTCTTCTATATTACAAATGACCGTTTATTTCGCCTAGTCTAATCAGTGTTGCTTGATGTCTAAAAAATTCATTAAGTCTGTGACATGAATTCAGCCTGCACATGTAACTAATTTCTCTCAAGGTCGAACTTAGATTCTAGTAACAAGTAAATCTGTGACATTTCCCATCAGACATTATAATTTGTTTTAGTTGCTAGGATCAAGATGCCGTTGTAAAAATAACGATGTTATTTTGAGAGTATTTAACTAGCCAAGCTTCAAATCATACACAAAAAATCGTTAAGTTATTTTCGTCTCTACAATCAATAATATGATTGATGCCATAGATTTTATAGAACATTAGTCTCCCTGAATTTATAACAGGATAAGTTGTATTCGTTCATGTGTTTATAAAGCTTATGTCAATAAATTTAAATGTTCATAAATGCTTTTCCTGCAGTTGACCTTTGCATGAGGTTATTTTTCATGAACGTACTGACTTGCTTTGAAACTGAATGCCTTGTATTTTATCAATCAAAATTATGTACATGTTCATTTCACACACACAAACGGCAATAATTTAAGGTAATTCACATAATGAACAAGTTAATTTATATCTCGAAAAACCTACAACTCCGACAAAGCAAAAAGAACGCGTTAATACAACATTCAATTGTTCAAAACAGACATGGTGTATATTCTATATTCTGCAGTAATTGAAGTACAAGTTGCACTCCAATGCCTTACATGTAATGACTAGAGTTTCACTCATCTTTTATAGTGTCGCTCAGTTAACACTTTAACTTAAAAATATTTTCCATTAAATTACGAATGACCTATTATTGCACACATCCGACACAGCTTTAACGCGATTCGACATCTACAATATTAAACACACATTTACCGGAAAAATCTCACGAGTTTATACTGAATGAATAAATTAGTCTAACCTAATATTTACAAAAATGATTTTCATGGTCAATATTATCTTACAGTGGCAAACAAATGCCCTTCACAATCATTACAGCTACGATGATGCGCGAACGCTCGTCTTTCTCGAACCAAGAACACATTCTCCACCACCGACGTCGGTAGGACATCTAGTAAATCAACTATTTCATTGAAATTGTTTTGCCGTATGGTTGAAAATTTGTGACCCAAGTCGGTTAGTTTCTTAGTGCGTTTTTGGTTTGAGAAACGTTTCGATAATTGAGCGTATATGCCGACTTTCACCAATACCGTTCTGATAACACAACACGCCGCGTGCTGCAGCGACAGCGGCGTGCAGAACGTCGTGCAGCACTCAATTTTATGGTCAACATTTTTATTTTCAGTCGCCCGAGCTCCTGCAACCAATAGGAGCCTGCCCAAGAGAAATAAACATGAAAATGGAAAGAAAATGTAAAAATCTTGAAGTTTGAATGAACGATTATGATGATTCATTAACACTGAAGTTTTTCTATTCGTAGAACAGTTCTCATGTGATAGTTTTTAGAATTAATAATCATTTTTTTTTTCTAAATTCCTAGTCTTCTCTACAGCAGTCTTTTTTTTTTGAAGACATTATTTAAAACAATAATTGTCGATACACATTTTAAATACCAATATTGTGACGTTTGACGACAAATTTCTATCATTTTATGTCTAAGAATATTTTTTTAAATTGACCATTACAGTAATGTTTTTTTCAATTAATTTGAGTGGGTAGGCTCGTGGACTGAAACTGCATGTCTTCCCTCAATAAAAATCTAAAAATGTATCAGGAACTTAGAAAAAGCCCTCGAAAAAAATTGCTGAAGATATAAGTGAAAAAAAAGGAAAATGCTATGATAAAATCCTAGACATCCTGGTATTTCCAAATGATCACTGAAATAATTGGCCTCGTTAGCAGTTGTCAGAAAAATTCAAACGATAGAATATAAACAAGTTTTTTTATTATTTATAAATTGGTCTTAACGTTGTGTAAAAATTATGGATCTAAAGTGCACACAAACTTGTGTGTTGTAAAAGAAACCGTCTTGACTGTTAATAAACAATTTCATTTCATAGAACATAGATCATTTTAATTTTAACCGAAGTCAGGCTCCAAATTTAGAGGCTTTGATTCAAATTTATTTTTTAGGATTTCCGGCAAATACTTCTCTCCATCGAAAATAAGTATTTTTTTCATTTTAGAAAACCAAAATGAAAACCGGTAATAGCTAATGAAATACATAAAAATTTTTCAAACTGTGGATCATTTCCAGAGTTCTTGTAGATCAAACAAAACCTTTGAATTTTTTGCTAGGTTACAGGCGCCTGTTTTTATACGTGTTTCCTAAAACGGCAACTCACGGGGAATTTTCACTGTTCCCTTTACCACGTTTTACTGATTTTCATTTTCAGAGCTGTTAAGACTGTTAGGTACCAATTAAACTCAGTTTAGGCAAGTGGCTTTATGGACTAGTTTCCAGTGCTCCTATAAGAATAAATAAGAAAGAATAGCAACTCACGGCAGAGCACAGATGGGGAGCTGCATGTTGAAGCAATTAATTGGTTCCGCCGACACCGACCAGCCCTCGAGTAGGACATCAGACGCCACCAGAATGTGCAAGTATCTCTCAACGAACTGAAAATAAATAAAAAAACTTTAGGGTATATCAGTGGCGTCTCTAGGCCTATTTCAGGGGGCTTCAGTCCCCCTAAAATTTTCTCATGTCCCCTAAATAATGTCCTGTTCATTCAGTGAAATTATTTTTTACAAAAAAAAAGATACCGACAAGTGCAATGTAATGTTGACTAAATATACGTTTAAATAAATAATATTTTAAGCGGACATTAATAACTTGAATATGACTGTAAATCTTAGGGCGTCCTCAAAGCTAGTGATGCCCCTGGGGTTACAGACGTCCAACTTTATGAAGAAGCAAGTTTAAAATTTTCTACATCACGTGCAATACCTGACTCCACCAAAATTTATTTGTATCAATAAATGAGAAGAATTTAATCAAATTGATGATTCATATTAATTTATATCTGATCTGTAACTCGGCTGCGCTGTTATTACTTTGAGAGAAGTCAATATTAGTAGAATGAAAATTTTTCAATCGACTACTCAATGTCTAATGCCGCTGAAATGTCGACAAAACCTTGAGATAAATAGTTTGCTTAACAATGTCATGATTTTTGTTTTTCTTTCATAAATAAACATACTGTACGCAGTTCACGAAGTAACTCCTCTAGTATGTCTGCTCTATTTAACCTGTAATAATACAGACAATCGCTGTACGCATCCTCTACTTATGTAATATATCCGATATAGTTTTTATTAAACCTATTTTAGGTAGTGGTGTGGTGGTAGGATTGGCCTGAGCTTGAATCGAATAAGACAGCGATAATGATAATATCATGCCGCAAAAAACTGTTTCAAGATACAGATTTTAATGCAATTTTGTACGTTAATTTCATCTAAAACTCAATAGTAGACTGAATAATTTTTTTAGCCCATTGACCAATATTTATCACCGACTTTCACATTATAGGAGAGAACGCTCCACGAATAACTTCCGGACTCCGCAGGTTTTAATATTAGTTCCCTTACCTTTAGATACAAATAGACTACGCTACGGGTAATTTATACGTTGAAAAATTAATATAAACAAAACCTGGGCTCATTTTGTTTTCTGATATCAAAATTAATGTAATATTACATACCTTGGAGTTATTAGAAATGGGTCGTCTCTATTTCTTGATGTTGCAATTTTTACCTGATCTACTACCACACTGAGAAAAATGAGTCATATTATCCAAATAGTGAGGCTCTTTCTTCCCGTAGAATTGATACGCCCTTTTCTTGGTTCAAACTTGGACAGAATGACTCACACAAAGGTAAAAAGTGCATAATTATTTAAAAACAGGTTTCATTGAAGACAAGAAAATTTGTTTTATTCGCAATTTTCTTATTAGTTTTTTCAATATATCGAACAATATATCGAAACTAAAAATATTGTTAGATATATTGAAAAAACTAATATGAAAATTGCGAATAAAACAAATTCTCTGGTCTTCAATGAAACCTGCTTGAAAGAAGAAATTCTGCCACCCGTTTGTCTACTGATGGTCACTCTAGCCACAGCAGTGACGAAGTTTCCCGTAGTCACGCTCTTTGCACATTATTGACTCTATTCATTTTTAAGGCATTTTCTCTTTATAGAAAAAATGCACTACTGTGCTCGCCATGTCCGTCTGTCTGTCTGTCCGTCCGTGACTTCACGTTTTCGTCGATTTTAAGAAGCGGGCATGCCTGTATCAAAGATACATCTCTAGCTCTTAAATGCACTGTACTAATCGCAATGAAAACTGATTTATGCACGAGAAAATGCGCTCTCTGTCACTCACTGCCGTGAATACCTACTGAGTTATATTTTTATAACATTTCCACAACATTACAAACCTGACAGCCACCAGCAAAGGGTCGTCTCGAGAACTCCTTTGTTTCGTACGCGTCACGGACGCTCCCCCGCGTACGAGCTCCTGCACGACCGCACGCGAGGACCTCTCCACGGCGAGGCTGAGCACGTGGCGCCCGTGGAGCGCGTAGTCGCAGTCAAGCCCGCGCTCAGTCACGAGCTTTTTCAGACCAACATGGTCCCGTGATAAAACTTTCTGTAAAAAAAAACAGAATTTTAGTTTTGTAATCAATATCATAGGCACCAACTGTTGTCAAGATTGTGATGCCCGTAAAGCGCTAGTCGCACTTAAGCCCGCGCTCAGACACGAGCTTCTTCAGACCAACATGGTCCCGCGACAAAACTTTCTGTAAAAACAGGATTTAAGTTTTTGTAATCTATTTTGCACAAACATAAGCTTTTTATTTTTGGACACTTTAATCTATTAGAGTGCAATATTCTACGCAAGTAAGAGTTAATTATGACCTTGGAGAATTTTGACTTCTGTTAAATTTTAGTCGAGTAGTACTGCTTTTTAACTATTCAAACAGCGCATTCAATACATTAAGATAAGTAGAGTAAGATTTACAGTAATTCAGTAAATTACATCAATGAGAGATAAGCTTTAGAAGTTTATGCTTCTTCTTGATGGCAGTTTTTATTACGGTGTTCACCCAAGGAAGCCCATGTTTTCTAATCATGACAAACTTTATACAAAAAGATGCATTGATGCATTGAAAATCTTGGAAAGTTCGGTCATACAAGCCTGCACTGCATGGTTAGGTTTATAATATTAGTTAGAAACACAGGAGAAGGAAAACGATTAATTTTCTCCCTAACCTTTTGAATATTGTCTGCATTATTAAGTCGAGTTCTTTTCCAAGATGGAGTAATCGAAAACCCACTTTCAAAATAAAAAAATAAAATAAAATGAAACACAGTTTTAAAATAAAATAAAATTAGTTTAAACCCACCGGCATAGGTACAGTGCGTCATGCACAGAAACCGGAAACAACGCGGCGCCGCTCAAGGTCAACGGAAGAAAAGCTGGCGATGGCGGAAAACATTTCCGCCGAGCTTTCTTCCTTTTTCTTTACTGATACGATTAAATTCGAGGAAAAAACAATCGAAAGATCAAATAGAGCTTTCAACATGTTAACAGCAAACAGCCTAAAACTCCGAGCTCTAATCAGATTGTTTTCGTTCCTCAAACGAAAATAATGTTTTAGGCTACAAAATGATTGAAATACGACCAAAAATTGTTAACGAATAAAGGATAATAATTAGTAGGAAGCTCACCATCATTCCATCATGGCGCAGCTTGGTAAGATCGTCCGCTGCACCAGGCAAGTGGACGGCGATAGAAACGAAACCATTCATTGAACAGGCGGTTTACACAAGATGACGCGCTGAAGATACAGCGAAAAGAAATGCATGGAGTCCTGCATGGAAAATAACTTCAAACCACCATAACCGAGACCCGCATTTAGACACCATGAGCTGTGGTGAAGGCGCTCAGAATCAATGCCACTGGAAACACGAAATATTGGAGAATGAAGTAATACACGCGTCAGAAAAGCCAAATGAGAAACACAAAACATGAAGAACTAAAATTGGTTTCCATAAAGATTCTTGAAAAATATCCGAATAGATATCACAATAAACTTTAGCTACATTCAAATGATTTCCATAACGATTCCTGGAAAATACTAGAACAAAAATCCCAACAAACTATAGCTACATTCAACGATTACAAAATAACGAAGATTATTGATCATAGAGAATTTTATTCTCGTACTCCCCAAACGCAAATGCACCACCCGCATAGAGCCACACGTGACTCTTTGCTGACTCACAGAACACTTGCGACAGCGCAAGTGTTAACGCACCTGCTGAGTTACGTTACCCACCATCCAATAAATTCTAGACGCTACAACCAACACGAATACAAGTGAATATGAGTATATGAGATGAACAGAAGAACATCATTCCTGCTAGAACAAGAAAGTTTTCTGGCCTGATAAAGAATTATTAATTTATTACATTTTTCTGTGTTTACTTTTATCTCTAAAAGAAACATTCCATGATCAAGAACAACAGAAGTATCGTAATCATGAAAATTGCAATGATGAATAAATAAATAATAATAATTTAATAAATATAATGAATAATGCAACGACTTAAGTAAAGCCTGATTACCCACGTGACTGGCAAAGACAGTAATGATGCATGACATATATGACTAAATTAAGACTTTATTACTTACAACAACAGCATATAAATATGCTTCTCATGAAAAGCGCCGAATTAAATGAATTTCTAACGGCGTATGCCTGAAGAGTATAAAGCAAAGTGGTATAGTTACTTTTCAAGTAGCTAGTACTGATACAGTCAGTGAATATTTTCAATTAACGTATTCCTAATACTGTCCAGTAACGCAATAAAGAATCTCATACACACAGCATATTACTGAGCATGGTACGAAGGAGTTAGATTTCATTAAAAAATTTGAAAAATATACAGTGTATCAAACTAACAACATAATTGTTTTATCAAAAATGTTACTAATGCCATCACAATATATTTCAGATGCTTAGGGTCAAATATAAAGTAATTCCTACATACAATACATAAAATACGCGGTTTAGAACCATCATAAAATGAACACCACACTACAAATTAATATTAAATGCCGCACAAACAATGCGTTTCTTCACCTCCCACAGACACGCGGTTAGCAAGATGCGTAACCAAGACGACCAAGGAGAGACTGCCAAGACTACAAGCCTGCTGCTGCAGTAACACCCAGAAAAATCAGTAGCTAATATTATCCAAATAGTGACACACTACTGACGTCCGAACGTAGCACGGATTACGACTTTTGCCGGACACAAACAAGGATCAGGGTGACCCATTCATGTCCAAAATGTGCATCGCTATTAGTACAAAATCTCCGTCATGTCTGCGGGGAACAGAGCCCCGGTAACCTGCAGTATAAATAACTCGGAACTGAGCGGCCGCTGCGCCGGAATATTTAGCCGCGCGCGCCAATGGCAGCGCCGAGCTCTGGGACCAACGCCACCGGCACCAGCGCTAAGAATACGCTGTGGAGGCGAGCGTTCGCAGGGGGGATGGGGGGAAAGTGCGAGGTTAGATGAAAAAGTACAAGATTTGACAAAAAGGAAGAGATTGGATGAAAAGGAAGAGATTGGATGAAAAGGAAGAGATGGGATGAACAGGAAGAGATTGGGTGAACAGGACGAGATGGGATGAACAGGACGAGATGGGATGAACAGGAAGAGATTGGATAAAAATGACGAAATTAGATAAAAAGTACGAGATTGGATGAACAGCAAGAGATCGGACGAACAGGACGAGATTGGATAAAAAGTACGAGATTGGATGAACAGCAAGAGATCGAACAGGACGAGATTGGATAAAAAGTACGAGATTGGATGAACAGCAAGAGATCGGACGAACAGGACGAGATTGGATAAAAAGTACGAGATTGGGTGAACAGGACGAGATTGGATAAAAAGTACGAGATTGGATGAACAGCAAGAGATCGGACGAACAGGACGAGATTGGATAAAAAGTACGAGATTGGGTGAACAGGACGAGATTGGATGAACAGGACGAGATTGGATAAAAAGTACAAGATTGGATAAAAATGACGAGATTGGATGAACAGGAAGAGATTGGATGACAGAAAGAGATTGGATAAAAAATGTCGATATTAGATGAAAAGTACGAGATTGATGAACTGTACGAGGTTAGCGGAGAACTGTTAGAAGGATAATGTAATGGAAAATTAGAGTAAAGTACAAAAAAATAAATATAATGAATAATGCAACGACTTAAGTAAAGCCTGATTACCCACGTGACTGGCAAAGACAGTAATGATGCATGACATATATGACTAAATAGAGATTGATGAACTGTACGAGGTTAGCGGAGGAGTGTTAGAAGGATAATGTAATGGAAAATTAGAGTAAAGTACAAAAAAATAAATATAATGAAAAAAACATGAAAGATTACGAGATTAGATATGTGAAACAAGACGCCTATACAAGAGGCGTACATCAGAAATGCGATTAAAAGGTTTGTCAAGAAATGAAAATCGGGAACTGAATAAAACCTACTCGTAGATACAACTTTTACATTGCAAATGATACTTTAAGTTAGTATTCCGCAAGAAAATAATATGTTTTCAATTCAAAGTGAATAAAAACTTTAGTAAGTAAGAAGTAAACAATCAAGACATCGCCCAAAAATGCACAAGGTGATATTCCGTGGTCGCAAATATTCTCAACTTTGGTTATATTTTTACCGTCATAAGTCCAAAGATTATTAAAGAATTGAATAGTGAAGAAAATTTGAAATAATTTCCTGTACATCTTAATTACAAAGCAATAAATTAAATCTTTTCCTTGGACTAACAAATCTAAGACAAAGTTACACTTATAATAATATATATAATTATATAATAATTATAACACCGGTTCGCCAGTCATGAAAAGATCCGGTCAAATGACACGAGTTTAGATCTATGAACAAGGCACGAAAAGGAAAAGAATAATAATTAAGAACGATAGGAGCATTGATAACAAATGATTGATATTCCTGCTGACATTTGACTCATTTTTCAGCAACAGCATCATTGAACTCAACGTCGACTTCCGGTGCTCGTTAACACTTTATGATACAATTGTCTTCAAATGACCGCCTTATTAAACCCAACTTCAATATACCCTCTTGCTGAAATATGAAAAAATTAACTGTACACAAAGGCAAGATAATCGATATATGTGAAAAATATGCATAACAAACTCTCAATGACGAAACAAAACAAATTTTATTTAAAACTGAAGAAAAACAGTCCCGCTAGTCTACCCTCTGCAGGCTTGAGCCGTGACAGCGAGGGTAGCTCAGTAAAGGAACACGTCCACCTCAGCACTGCGCACGCGATGCTCTATATAGTGCAGCTTCTGCGCACACCTGGCCACACTCGTACAAATGCATGGGTCATATTGTCTAGACAGTGACACACTTTCTTACTCATAACACGAGCATGGGTCATATTGTCCAAAAACTACGACACACTTTCTATCTTACTCATAGCACGAGCATGGGTCATATTGTTTAAACAATGACACACTTTCTTACTCATAGCACGAGCATGGGTCATATTGTCCAAAAACTACGACACACTTTCTATCTTACTCATAGCACGAGCATGGGTCATATTGTTTAAACAATGACACACTTTCTTACTCATAGCACGAGCATGGGTCATATTGTCCAAAAACTACGACACACTTTCTATCTTACTCATAGCACGAGCATGGGTCATATTGTTTAAACAATGACACACTTTCTTACTCATAGCACGAGCATGGGTCATATTGTCCAAAAACTACGACACACTTTCTATCTTACTCATAGCACGAGCATGGGTCATATTGTTTAAACAATGACACACTTTCTTACTCATAGCACGAGCATGGGTCATATTGTCCAAAAACTACGACACACTTTCTATCTTACTCATAGCACGAGCATGGGTCATATTGTTTAAACAATGACACACTTTCTTACTCATAGCACGAGCATGGGTCATATTGTCCAAAAACTACGACACACTTTCTATCTTACTCATAGCACGAGCATGGGTCATATTGTTTAAACAATGACACACTTTCTTACTCATAGCACGAGCATGGGTCATATTGTCCAAAAACTACGACACACTTTCTATCTTACTCATAGCACGAGCATGGGTCATATTGTTTAAACAATGACACACTTTCTTACTCATAGCACGAGCATGGGTCATATTGTCCAAAAACTACGACACACTTTCTATCTTACTCATAGCACGAGCATGGGTCATATTGTTTAAACAATGACACACTTTCTTACTCATAGCACGAGCATGGGTCATATTGTCCAAAAACTACGACACACTTTCTATCTTACTCATAGCACGAGCATGGGTCATATTGTTTAAACAATGACACACTTTCTTACTCATAGCACGAGCATGGGTCATATTGTCCAAAAACTACGACACACTTTCTATCTTACTCATAGCACGAGCATGGGTCATATTGTTTAAACAATGACACACTTTCTTACTCATAGCACGAGCATGGGTCATATTGTCCAAAAACTACGACACACTTTCTATCTTACTCATAGCACGAGCATGGGTCATATTGTTTAAACAATGACACACTTTCTTACTCATAGCACGAGCATGGGTCATATTGTCCAAAAACTACGACACACTTTCTNAAGACACACGAAAAAATATATACATTATTTTCACGAATAGCATCGAAATTTATAAGAAATTTAGAGCGAAGCTTAAATTAGACGGCACAACAGACATTCATTATCAAGTGCGTATAAAAGACATGAAATCAGAAAAGTACTGTTTTCCATTTATATTCATTATTTCAAAATATAAGCAATATTCCTCATCTGATCCGTCACTCATTAAGGGTCAACTTAACACGTTGAGTGCGGTACGACCTACAAGGGTTGCCAGATGGCCTAAAAACGGCCAAGTCCACGGACAAAAATTGCCAATAATTCAATATTTACTGGTACTAAATTTGTAGGTACCGGTGCAAAATATAAATTTTCCTTTTATAGTATTTTTGATAATTTGATAAGGAAGTACCGATGTCATAAACATTTGCCGGCCAACGCAATTAAAAAATTTTCATCGCGGAATTAGTCCGAAAAAAAGTTCCTGCAACCCACCGTTGGATCGTGACATATTAAACGTGACTACACAAGGAAGAACGCACGTGCACATCTGGTCACGGTATACGGATAATATATATTCGTCTCAAATGGTATTTTAGGAGTTATGGGCGAGAAACCAAAACCAGAAGCAATTTACGCACAATTAGCTCACAAATTATCGATTAATTTAGTTCACGGTAATCACAAAAGGCAGCGCTAACTACATCAGCGTACAAAAACGAATAATACGCACATACAACATCGCCGTCAGAAAATATATTTTAGCATAATGCAACAGTAAACGCTTTTACTGTTCAATGCAAGAACTCTTTTCATACTATTAAAAAGCCACAAACCTTGAAATTTTTCATAAATCATTTACGTTCTTCCTAATAAATATAATTTTGGAATTTCATGTAGAGTTTCTGCGCTTCTAATTACGTGAAAATGACTCAACCTGTTAAAACAAGACAGAAATCCAGCATGCATAGGACGCTTGTTTAACAAGAGTTGGTGTGTCTGGCATGTTTAACAAGCAGTGCTGTAGTTAGCAGATGCCGAAGAAAGTTATGAGCATGAAATTGAATAGAAAAGCAATGCACAAGCACGAATAATCTTATTGAAGAGAATGCGAAGCTCGCAGGGCGCAGTTAGCAATATGTAGCGTTAAAGGTGGGATTGACCGCGCTAGCGATTTGTAAGACTTTTAATCGCTAATTTATTTTGCAGGTAGAGACTTATAAAAGCAGTGCAAACATTCTCAGTAGCATCGAAATGCGATAGCTAGCTTGTATTTACATGGGAAACTTACTACCACGACCTGTAGAAAGAAAATTTTCGGAAGGAACGAAGAAGCAAAATGATCATTAGTAATTATTAACCCGATTCAGCAGCGGAGAAGTTCATCAAACGGACGACTTGTTCTCGCCAAGCAATTGTCGTCAATGCGACGAAGAACTTTGGTTATTTAAAGTCATTCATAACAGAAAATGTGTAAAAATTTTCACCGTTAAGAAAAATTTACGCCAAACCTTAAGGCGTTCAACTTCAAAATTTCCCCAATCCAGGTTAGAGAGAACGTCCAAAAATTGGCGCCATTGTTCAGGATAATCGTGAGCTAAAATTTAAATAAGGAAGTGACGCCATCAACGCTGAATGCAGAGTGAAGTATTAATAAATTCATAAACTTCATCGTCATCGCCGTCCCGAGATCACTACAGCACAAGACTCATTGCTGACGCAAATGCTGCCGTGATTATTGCAAAAAGTGCTTAGCGAAAAGGCTCAAACATAAGAACATATATAATGTACGAGGTTAAGTCACTGGCAAAAAAAATTATCTCCAGCAAACCGACAGATTCGGGCGCAAAGAACCCGAATCTATGCCATTGCGGAGTTCATAAAAGCGTTTGGATACTATGCCCGTAAATTGTACTGGAAATTCACAGGCCCCGACTTTGTACCAAGAGATAAATAACAGCATAAGTTTCTATGGACGTAAAAGCAGCAATTGTTCAAGAAGGATACTGGAGATGAAGAGATAAATGGCTTATAAAATTTATGTTATCTAAGGCTCTATAATATGGCGTCTAAGATTCGAATTTTTAAGAAAAAATTCACATGATTTAAAGACTTACGCAAACTCTTATCGTCTACCACGTTGCCAAAATAGATCCAATAATAGGTCATTTAAATCAATAATCATTCTACCCAGAATACATTGATCAACAATGAAGTTTTATTGGCTACCAACTATTGTTAACTTATGTTGTAATTCAAAACCACACAAGGTGGATATAAGAAGGAAACTGTAATCCGCTAAAATATAACACAAAAAAAGCAGTGTAAAGTGCGTTACTTTAATTATTCACGTGATTCACGTAGTCTCACAGGCATGATCACGTCTGCGACGCGGATATTAAGATCCTCGGTATCAAGAGTTCATTTACGGAAAACAACTCAAGCCCACGCTGCAAGCACCACCTTTGACGGCGACCAAGCGTCGCCCACCAGCGACATCGAGAAATTAACTGCGTTTACCAAGGCTCGAACCCACGGGTAGCTCCTGTCATCTCGGTGCCGCTGAGCTACTGTGATGCAGTTCTACAATTTCTCACAGTAAAAACTTCATAAATTTTTAGGTGATATCAAAATCATATCAAATAACGAAACTTATAATAAATTGTATCAGTAAAATATGCCTCTTTCTTTGCCTATACTCGTAATAGTGAAAATGCCAGTGCTTGCTCAAAAGAAAACACTCAACAGAAAAAAAACTAATTTAAAAAAGCCAAAAAACAGCTGCTGATCAATTATTAAACACAGAAAATCGACGATGCTTACAGTTATAGGATATAGTCGGAAATGTGAACAAAGCTGGTCTCGTTTGATGCGTTAAACGTGAGGGGGCGAAAATGTTAAACTTGTCGTGAATGTAGCCAAGACCAAACAAACATTACTCTGCTAGGAGAAATACACAGGATGAGATAAATTCAAAATTCTCGTAACTGATATAATGAACGAAAACATAAAGTACAATCAAAGCGACAACACTAAACAGCATAATAAGAAACGTATTCCATAAATGTTGTTACTCTGTTAAGCGAAATAACTTTTTAGTGCAAAATAGAATCTAAAATATAAATCAAACTGAAGTTATACAACAAGAGAATATTAGCTTGGATGCTTTCGGTTCTGATAATTTTACCAAAAATACTTATTACTTACCGAGGCATTAATTTCACCTTAATGTCTACTGTAGTGAGCGAAATTAGGATTTATTGCAGAGGAACGAGAAATAGTTTCTGTCGACACAAAAATTAGCGTAACTAACATCTCCTTCAGCCAAATGAATTACCAGTTCCAAAGAAACGACGGCTGGTTTCCAACCAAATGAGGTAATAGAAGAGAATTTTGAATTTTATTAGCTTCTTCAATCATTATAATGAATGTGAGCAATCGTTAAGATATTTAGAATCCATTGGACATTAGGAGCAATCAATCATTTTACAATAGTAAAGGAATTCTGCTCAGTTATTTCATAGATAATAAAATTGAAATATCTTGAAATAAAGAAGAAGTAAATCCCAACACACAAATCACAACGAAAGATAAAGTGAATTCAAGAGTTTCGAACGAAGGGCAACACTGAAAATCAGAATTTTTTAGACAATTCCGTTAGCAGTGAAACGTAAGTAGATCGGTAATTATAAATACCGATCATTATACCGATATTATAATAATTACCGATCGTTATATCGATATTATAATAATTACCAATCATTATATCGATATTATAATAATAATTATTATCATGTTATGCAACTCCGACCCTGGGCAGCAAAGAACATGTGGGCGCACTAAGGAGGTGTACTGTCGAGAGAACTCCTTAGAGAGCATAAAATTGCCAAGATGTTTCTCTTCTTAAGGTTATATCCATTGAGTTATTAACCCAACACAGTACATGCTTGCATATCAGCTGAATCTGTCATACTATTACCACCCATCAGATGACTGTAATATTTCCAACATCCATGCTATATGGGAGATTTATACGTACTCAGAAAGAGCAAATAAAGATGACAATTATGCAGCTAAAACAGTCGGTCTTAGCTGCCAAGATGCTCTCGCATTTACTCGTGACAGAGGCAATGGGTTGGACATCAAATAATCTCTGGCCCAATGACGTCTGAAGAATTGACGGCACTTCCTCCACAAGATAGGCGATGCATGGAAGGCATAACTAGAAGATGACGGATCGTATGAAGTCTGCAGAATTGACCGCACTTCCTCCACAAGATAGGCGATGCATGGAAGGCATAACTAGAAGATGATGGACCGTATGAAGTCTGCAGAATTGACGGCACTTTCTTCGCAAGATAGGCTATGCATGGAAGGCTTAACTAGAAGTTGATGGACCGTATGAAGAACCATACGAGATGATGGACCACAGAGCTGAACTAGAAGATGATTTGCTGGGGTTCTTGTGGCGTCTGCTCCACTGGACAGTAAGGGCACTTCACTCTGGGGGGAGATTGCGATCTCTTACTGCAACGAAAAATTAAATGCACTGAAACCCCAGAGGTTAAACATTTCTGCTCATTTAAGAACTGGTGAAAGAATTCGGATAAAGTTTTTCGTGATTAGTCACATTCAATGAACCATTAAATAAGATGTATTCGATTTGTATCAAATTTTGTCCACGCCCTGAATGACAGGTACCGTACTTGGCAAGGAACGGATCGAACATGAAGCCAATTCGATTATTATAATGTGCTTTCTCAAAACATGTAGAGCAAAAGCAGATTTGATTAGTATTTTCATTACAAAATAGCAAAGTAGTCGGCAGCCGTGACTATACAGTTGGGCACGTTCAAAAATGAAAAAAATTTAAACTCAGGAGTTTCTGCGGAATAAGAGTTTAAAATTACTAGGTAAACACAAAATTTCACTTCCATATTAAACACTTAGATGCAAGGAACTAATATAAAATGAGCATTAATGAAAGTACTTAATCTAAAAGCAGTTACATGACACCTCGTATCCTTTTGTGAAGTTCTAGATGACGCCCATCCCCAGATTGTTCTGTCATTTAGAACGTGGCAAAAATATGCGTATTACTAGTCGAGTTTCACTAAATTTGATTGGTTCATTAAATGTCACTACACACAAAGCACATTATGAATCTAATTACAAAGGAAACGGACATCAGCATCAAGGCATCTAAAAACAGTTCATACATGAAAAGTTTTCGCAGAACAATGAAAATGTAACAAAACCTGAGCAAATACCAACCTACTCAGAGATTATTAATCGTGATTCAAAGTTAAAAATTGTAACAAATATTTGAAATTATTGAAACAGATTTCATACCCAGAAGATAACATTATACATTTTGTTCCACCCTACTTATTGTTTTTGAAATAAAAGTAAGAATAGAAGTAGAAAGTAAAAGAACTCAATTAAAATGATAAATAAACAAAGATGGAGAATACATTATACATTTTGTTCAGTGAACATGACTCACTTGTTGGCATTCGTAAGCTTGGTAAGCGCGTCTTTAGAGATGACGTGACCACATATCAGCCTCATGGGAGGGTTAGACTCGGTGCTCTGCTGGCGCATGATGGGGCACGAGAAGATGCTGTGGTAGTAGTTGTTCTTGCCCAGTGCTATCTCGATCTGAAATTGTTGACAAGTTTAAATGATGTTTTTCTTTAGTGCTATCTCGATCTGAAATTGTTGAAAGGTTTAAATGGTGTTCTTTTTGTTCTTCCCTAGTGCTATCTCGATCTGAAATTGATGACAAGATTAAATGGTGTTCTTCTCTAGTGCTATCTCGATCTGAAATTGTTGAAAGGTTTAAATGGTGTTCTTTTTGTTCTTCCCTAGTGCTATCTCGATCTGAAATTGATGACAGGTTTAAATGGCGTTCTTCTTGTTCTTGCCCAGTGCTATCTCGATCTGAAATTGTTGAAAGGTTTAAATGGTGTTCTTCTCTAGTGCTATCTCGATCTGAAATCGTTGACAAGTTTAAATGGTGTTCTTCTCTAGTTCTATCTCGATCTGAAATTGTTGAAAGATTTAAATGGTGTTCTTCTCTAGTTCTATTTCGATCTGAAATTGTTGACAAGTTTAAATGGTGTTCTTCTCTAGTGCCATCTCGATCTGAAATTGTTGAAAAGTTTAAATGGTGTTCTTCTCTAGTGCCATCTCGATCTGAAATTGTTGACAAGTCTAAATGGTGTTCTTCTCTAGTGCCATCTCGATCTGAAATTGTTGACAAGTTTAACTAGTGGTCTTTTCTAGTGCTATAGCGATTTGAAATTGTTGAGAAGTTTAAATGATGTTCTTCTTGTTCTTCACTAGTGCTATCTCGATTTGAAATTGTGAAAAAGTTTAAGCAGAGTACATTTATTAATGGATCATGCACTGAAATATAAATAATAGCAAAGGTTATTTGTGTCTTGAGAACTTCTAGTACGCGAAACAAGCGGTAATTATCGTAGCCAAAAATTTTATTACCGATAAAATTAGAAATTTTTTAACATAACCTGGCACAAACAATCGATTTTCAGCTGATACAAAACAGCAGCAAGTGAGAGATCTCAATCTAGGCCAAGATATACGATGAAAACATGGAAAATTGTTTCAACGTTTCAAGCAGATTGTGGAGAATAAATTAAAAAACTTTGTCTGTACTTGTAACCATTCTAGCACTTCATAATTAACGATTTTACATAAAATCTGAAAAATAACGGTATATCACAATATAGGGAAAACTGAAGTAAACATTACAAAGAGTATACGTCAGGATTTAAAACAAATCAAAACATAATTAAATTTAAAAATACTTTAGAAGAAAGAACATTTAAAAAATGAATTGAAAAAATTGAATTTAAAAATAATTGAGGAACAGCATATTTCACTGAACTGAAGGGTATTGGAGCACAAATTTTTGTAAGTACTACTCACAGGAAGCTCTTCCTTAGCACTCCACATGTTGTGCACTTGCGATCCAGTGAGGGCTTGATTGATGTTCAGGAGGACTGGCAGTGCAGTGCATCCCGCGCTGATACTGCACAAAGGTTATCAGTAATTAAACTTGGAGAATTTCTTTCAAGCCATATTAGTAATCATGAAGAAAATATCGAGAAAAACTTCTCTTCAAGAACGTTTTAATAATAAAATAACTTCAACGAGACACCAAAATATTGAACCAGAAAAACCTGTCTGTTGCACCTACGTTATATTGTTTGCTGCCAAAGGGCAACCTCCTACTGAACAACCCCACATGCATTGCAGCAACATACTCGATGTGATTCATGCTTACAGTTCACATCTACTGACCACGGTCTTAAAATGGGCCTAAAATGTTTTGGTGCAAACCCATTATGGTGCACGCGGCTCCCATTTGACATACCAAACAGCCAGGGGACACTGCATTGATAGGCCCATTATGGTGCACGTGTTCCCCACTTGACGTACCAAACAGCCAGGGGACACTGCATGGACAGGCCCATTATGGTGCACGTGTTTACCACTTGACGTACCAAACAGCCAGGGGACACTGCATGGACAGGCCCATTATGGTGCAGGCGTCTTTAGTGAAGGTGCGTATGAGGTCGTCCCACTGAGAGGTCTGCAGCAGCCCACTGTATGGCGTGCCTTGCAGACCAGTGCGCATAAACACAAGAGACCCCATCACGTGCTGAATTGCTGCACACACATAAATATTCATTAATATATAACTAATTAAGGAAAAAAAATAAGTAATGACTTCATACATTACCTTCTGGCCACCGATTCAATATGCAATCTTTTCTCAATCAGTGCGATTTCTTGTGCAAATCACCTTACAGATGAAATAACAGCCAATTAAATTAGGGAATTACCAGCTAGGTATTGTCAAGGATTACCTGACTGATGGTTAGGAATGAAGTACTTGAATGAATGAATTACCACCAGCTATTGTCAAGGATTACCTGACTGATGGTTGGGAATAAAGCACTTAAATGAATTAATTGCCAGCTATTGTCAAGGATTACCTGACTGATGGTTGGGAATAAAGAACTTAAATGAATAAATTGCCAGCTATTGTCAAGGATTACCTGACTGATGGTTGGGAATAAAAGGCGTGAAGTGATCTCTGGCGTACTCGATAGCAGCAGTAACGTTCTGAGCTCCGCCTGCCACCAAGGAGATGAAGGCAAGTCTGTGTAACTTGAACTCCAGACTGCTGGTCTGTAATGCATCATGAACATCATTCACAATTATACAATAATGCATAGTGAATACGAGTTACAATGGAATATAGGTCACAATTTTATAGTACCTACTGCATAGTATTGAATTTCCATTTCAATAGAAGACCAGCCACAATTTTACAATAATGCATAGTGAATACGAGTTACAATGGAATATAGGTCACAATTTTATAGTACCTACTGCATATTGAATTTCCATTTCAATAGAAGACAAGCCACAATTTTACAATAATGCATCAATTGCAATAATAATGAATTAGAGTTACAGTAAAACAATAGTCAAATTCTACCATAATTCATAGTGAATTTAAAGTGCACATGCTTTGAGGCATAGATCCACAGCAGTTCATTGAATACTCTCAATACCTACAATTCCATGGCTCTACTGAATGATAAAAACTTTGAAATTCAAAATATAACAACAAGAACTCCCATGCATCATGGCACTATAGTTCATTATGAACCTCATCCCAAATATTTTGACCATCAACTTTCAAACAGCGAATATAACGCAAACACCCACCTTTTCTTTTAGTTTTTCACTGTGTTCCAAGGCCCACTTCATAGCAGGCTGCAGGTCTCCGTTTCTTAATGCAACCACGATTGCGTTCACGTCACGGAACTTCGTCATAAATTCTGAATTTATATTCATATTGCTGTCCTGTAATGGTAAATGCATAATAATAGCAAATTGCAACATTGAATATCAATCACAAAATATTCACATATATTTATTAAAAAAAAATACAAGCTCAAATTTAATAGAAGGCATGCTGAAGCACAGCACAGACTAAACTAAACCACTTGATCCAAGTTTTTATAGATATTCAAGTGCACACTATGGCCTGCTTACTAAACTGTATTGACATACCTACCAGTATATGATATCACTCATAAAGTTTTATGGGAAATATTCAAAATTCAAAAAACATATAAATGTCAATTACAACTAAAAATTCCAGTACACCAATGATGCCAAATTACAAAAAAAAATATTTTTTAATTAACCAAGGATCAACAAACGTGATGGTATATAATTATACTGATATAAATTATATTATAAAGATATAAAATTAATCATAAATAAATTGTACAGATATAAATGCAAAAATAATTTCATTCAAACTTGGAAACAATATCTAAAATAATTTTTACAAAGAAAATTAAAAATGTATTGATATGTTTAAGATATTAAAGGTATTTGATCCATTATCTAATTAAGTTCACACTAACTCTTTTCAATGATATATACTTGTTCATAAGGCAATGATACTTGAATACAAAGGCAATGATACATGTATGTAAAGGCAATAATCCTTGTATGTAAAAGCAATGATAGTTGTATACAAAGACAATGATAATTGTATGTAAATGCAATGATACTTGTATACAAAGACAATGATAATTGTATGTAAATGCAATGATACTTTTATACAAAGACATATACTTTATACTACTTTAATGTAAAGTAGTAATGTAGTATTTAATGATACTTTAATGTAAAGGCAATGATACTTGTATGTAAAGGCAATGGTACTTGTATATATTAATATACTAAGGCAATGATACTTGTATACAAAGAATTCTATACATTTTTATAGATTCTATAACAAGGGTAGACCATGGAGCACAAACTATTATTGTCATGTAGAAAAATTCTCCTAAAAACAAGTATATAAACATTTTCCTTTCAATTGAAATAAACTGCATTTTTAAGAGCATTAAGAAAGTCACATGCCCATTTTTTAATAAACAAATACACTAGTTTTCAAGATGAAGATGCTGCAAATGAAATTAGTGAACATTTTAATTCAACTAAATATTAGAAAAAGTGTGGACAATCCAATGAAAAGAATTCTAATAAATTTAAGTCACTTGAGCAGAAAAGCTAATTATAATATAGAACATTTTATGAGTAAAAAGAACTATTTAATCCATACCTCCATTAGCTGGTCTGCTGTGCTTTGCAGGCCTTCACGGCAGAGATGATTACAAATAATTTCATATAGTCTGGGTCGAGTCTCATCCCGTAAAAATGCAGTTTGATGAGTCATAAAATCATACGAAGTTTCAAAATTCTGGAAAAAGGATCAAATTATGTCAGTAAGAATATTAGAATGCCTTTTCTCAAATATCTGCAATAATATTTGTAAAATACTGAAGGGAAATTCTAGCAATGAACATCAAACAGGATAGACTACAGATATATGTGCTAATAAATATTGAAAAATTTGGACTTCATATAATTAGTAGAGGGTCAGAGATTGACCAAATAATGATATTTTTAAAATGCAGTGAAAGTGATATGAAATGGCAAACTGTTCGTCACTCACTTTATCTATACATTTTCCAATTTTTGATACAAAGGAATGGAGTTCCCTATGTTTGGCAGAGACGCTGCTGGAGACGGATTTAACTTCAGCCAAAGTGGCCATGATGTTAGAAACTTGTTCACTTGATAGAAGAGGAGCTTCAGACTCTTCTGAGTCCAAAGCTTCATCCAAATTACTTGAATCGTCATCCATGGGCATGGCTGTAAAGATGAAATTATAGAAGTCAAGCTGCAGGGAGTATAGCAAACCTTAGGAAAAGTTATGTGAAAAATGTTTATTTATGTGAAAATCTGTCAATACTTATAGAGGTGCTCCAAGCACAGAAATTTTCTTCTACTTCAATTATTTGATAATGAAAGCTTAAGATATCAGTGGTACAGTACATAGAATTTTTTACAAAATGAAACGAGTACCAAAATAAAATTACTTTCATTAACCATTCATACATGGAATATGTTTTGCCGATAGACTTCTGTTTGAACTAGATTTCATTACATCCATATTTAAATCTTCCACTCATTTATTTATTGAAAGATATATATACACATCCAGGTTTTTCATAGCTACCATGCTTTCCATTTTTCATACAAAGAAAATGACATCAACTTAGAAATACTAAATAAAAAATAATAATTATAAAAAAATCAAATATTTACAGCACAAAATAACATACAAACTTTCATCAAAAATAGCATGATACAATTAAAAGTTATTCAACTGTTGTGTAAAATAAGTTATACAGTAGTTACAGTTCAAAGTAAAATAGGAGGGAACACTTGAAATTAATACTCATCTCGTATACGTACTGACCACAAATCTCAGTCAAACCAGTCATGCAAACCTATATTTTCATTTGAATATTTATATATACTGTACATGGATCACAAGTACACAAGAACTGCTGCCAAATATTAATAAGAAAAGCCATATAAATTAGTAAAATCTAAACATTATGCAAATATATAAATGCCTTCTTACCATTTTCAACAAGTTCTAATAGCTCCTTCAGTTTTGCTTCAACATTATCTAATGAAGATAAAGTTGTAGTCTCATATGTACTAAATTTGTCCAAAACCTTGTCAATCTCATTCCTAACAGGGATTCTTGGGTCAGTAGCCATGATGAGAACACTTGACTATCAGGAAGCAACAAACCTAGATCTGAAAAAAAAATTCATTTTAGTCAGAAGAAAATGTGCATAAGAAACTAACATGAATAATGATTAGTCCTGATAAATTATTAAATGTAAGAACATCCAAGGAAAGGGGAAGTAATACTTTCATGAAACCATGAATTGAATTAAAATTTTAATAAAGATTTCAATTTGAACCATTTACAGTAGGTTCTCAAAAGGAGCATCTGGGTCCAAAATCGACAATTTCGGCTTTTCCCGTTTTTAGTCTCATCTTAAAGCTGACATTCTGACCTATCCAACTGTACTGAAACCATCTCTGCACGTTGATTTATGCGTTTACAACAGATCGTGAAAGGGTTAGGGGTGGTGGAGTTCTTTTACATCTGGGGGAGCGTCTGGCCAAAATTTTATTTTGGCTATTTACAAACAAATCACTTTGAAACCTGGTATGGTACACATATGTAAAACAGAAATCTAAGACTTTTTTGTTCATGTGAATTAAAAAAAGTATAAAAGAAAATGTGACATTTTTAGAAAACAGCCAAAAAAGGCCGTTCTACGGAGTTTTACAGTATATATTCTGTAGAACTCTATCTCCTATTAGGACTTTCAAGCTACAACATTGAGACGCATATCATTCAATCAGGGTTTGAACCAGTACCTATTTAGAAGAAAAATTCTAGGATTTTTCCATGACTCTCCATGATAATATAATTTTCCAAAACTCGCATATGACAGGTTTAGCATGACTGAAAGACTAACCGTTCATATTCCATCATCTCCGATAGGTGATAAATAGCAAACATGTAAATGCATAGAGAAGGCAGACACAGAGGAACAGAAATGACACAAATCTGAAAATCAAGCCCACACTTTTATTATCGTGAATTCAATAGTATCAAATTAAAACAAATATTGAGTAATGCACACAAGATTGTACATGATAATGCCCGGTCAATACAGTTCAGAACACTCTTCAACACCACTATGCACTACCCTAACATTCAACAGGCAGCTATTTCTTCAACTTTTTCTTTAATGTTCAGTTCAATAGTGTTTAGCTCCTGTTGCTTTGTTTTCCAAGATTGCCTTATAGCATTGAACTTTGCAATAATTTTTAAATCCCCCTTTCTCTCCATTGCTTTTTCCCTATTTTCTTCCCCCATATTTGACATATCAAAGTCTTTTGAACACAATGTACATGATATTGCCATACCTTCAGGCTTCATGCTTTGGATGGCAAGCAAGCCAGTCAGGGCTGGAAAAGTCCTATTTTTATCTGAAATATTGCAGCTCTAATATCATATAATTTCAGTAGGTATGAAATCTTGCAACTCGAATGTCATAAATTTTTGTTTGATTGAAAAAATTGCCATTTGCACTTTGCAAACATGTAATTTCATAAAATTTTCCACTTCTGCAATCTGCATTACTTTACCGTTCCCACCAAAATAACCTCCAGAATGTAATAAAAATTGTAATGTAAACAAGTCAACCTAAAGTCTAAACCTTTTGTTGAAGATTGCGCATAGTTGCGGTCTTGCTAGACTGCATTAATACCTGTTACAGTAGAGACAAATTTTATTGTTGCCATTTGACTGTTATAGGGTAAAATTAGAGATTTAGGGTAAAATGTGCATGGACTTAGCAAATAAATTTGCACTTCATAAACGGCTTTACATGGCCATGATATGAGATTCACAGCTCAAAAAAATGGAATCACGGCATGAAGAAATGAAATCTCGGCTGGCAAATGCATAAAACCACGGCTGAAAAAATTCAGTCATGGTTTGCCAGGTACCGGTAGATATATTCCATGCTTGAAGCCAGTCACGATGAGCTTCTATTCTTAACCACACGTAATGAAATTTACACTTTCCAGACATGGTGATGTAGAAATTGCACGCTGAAGATGGAACACTGCCACTGCACATCAAAAAGTTGTCAAATGCAACTGAGCTTGTCAGCTCGGTGACTGTTGGACCAAGCTCACTAGCCTAATCAGAACGCTACACAGGCAACAAGAGACTGCACAAACAGTAAACACATGCAGCATTGAAAAACACTTCCTTTCTTTCTTCTTTTATTTACAAATTCCATGACTTTCCAAAATCTGAAATGAAATCCACTGACTTTCCATGCCTGGAAAATGAAAAATCAAATTCCATGACTTTCCAGGTTTTCCATGAGTGGTAGGCTACAAACCCTGTTTGATACATAAAGACAATTTTCATTGATTCATAGCATTTTTCATGATTTTTTGAAATTTCTTTCATTTCCCTCTATTTCCCACTCCTTTTTCAAGATATTTTTAAAGATCTAACAAAATTGGAAAAAAAGCTAGTACAACCAATCTCTAGATCTTCTATTTGCAAATCGAATGGTATATCTCTCATTGTTGTACCTTCAAGACTGTAGGAGGTCATAGTGACCATCATACTGTCATAAAAAGGCAAAGGCCAAAACTCCATAGGGTAAACGCGGTATATTCCAACACTTTAAGGACGTAGCAAAAAATGAATGGCTATAAAAAATCACCGTATGCGCAACTCAAGTTCTGTTAGCCTTATGTCACTCTCAAAACACCGCACTATGGGCCAGCAACAATGAAACATCACAAAATGGTGCCATATTTATTTAAAAGCCTTTAGAATGCAAACCTACCAAATCAATATATTCCGACACTGTGTGTGACTAAATTCGGCATTTTGTGGGACTAATTCCGGCCGCGCTTCAAACTCTACTAATTCGTAATTCCGACACTCTTGTGTTCAAATTCCGATCGCTGTAGGAGCTGTATTGGAATACAACACAGCTTGGAATTAGAACACTATTGAATATTGAACACTACTTATTTAGGCTTTTAATTATGAGATATTAAGCTTTTAATTAGGAAAATTTTAAGTTTTGCAAACAGCTTGGAACAAGCTGTGTGTGTCTAATTCCAAGCTGTGTCGGAATTAGTTTTTATTTGTCTAAAACCATCTCTTAACTTAATCAACTATTAATTTTTTTACCACTTGAAATCAGCAAATACAAGTATACCTAAAGGATTCCTAATATATTCACAGAGAAGCACACTTCACAGACTTATTTAAAAGTCTCAAACCATAATATTCTTTCTACACAAACAGTTTATCACTATTTGATAGAGCCAGGTCAAGTGGTCAACTATCAACTTTGACACATTTTTCGATGTTCTCGCTGGGTGACGCGCACTGTCTCTCTTTGGATCTCAACATTTTCACGCCTGACAGCCCAGACATAGTGTTTTGGACTTTTGGCAATAGTATGCCCCCGGTAGTATGGCGCGTAAAAGTATGACGTCACTATTTCAACCATCAACAAATGCATGGAACTAAGAAAAAGCTTAATATAAAGGAAAAAAGTCAAGAAGTGTCAGAA